TGTCATCATTTCAGAGTTATGGTATCCTAGTCTTTATGTCCTTTTATCTTTTATCCTACACAGCCCCCTGGTGTGTGTCAGTGGCCGGCAGTATCCATCTTATGGGGGTGATGAGGCAGCTGGCACCCATCTCACTCTCAAATAATTTTTTTTTTTTTTTTTGAGGCAGAGCTCAGTATGTAGCCCTGGGTAGAGTGCTGTGGCTTCATAGCTCACAGGTACCTCAAACTCTTGGGCTTAAGCGATTCTCTTGCCTCAGCTTCCCAAGTAGCTGGGACTGCAGCCACCTGCCACATGCCTGGCTATTTTATTTTTTGCAGTTGTCATTGTTGTTTAGCAGGCCTGCCCTGGGTTCGAACCCGCCAGCCTCAGTGTATGTGGCCAGAGCCATAACCACCGAGCTATGGGTGCTGAGCCTCAACTAATTTTTATACTAGAAATATGTATAGAATGATAGAGAAAGGAAATTTAGGCAAAGGACAGCAAAATGAAACCAGAGATACGTAGATAACCCAAAATACAACTCACAAGGTCCTAGTTAACTCCTGAGTACACTACAAATTTGATACTGATTTTCCTGGTTGCCGGAGCAGAGAGGGAAAACATTATACAGCTGGTAGTGATCCAGAGTTGAAAGCTGAACCTCTTCTGGAAGTTTCAGCTAATTAGGGGGTAGCATGTTTGTGTGGGACTGGGGTTTTTTGGTGAGGGTGAGTCCATCAGGAAATAATCCCATAAAATGTCTCACACATCATTGTTGGGTTTTAGAGAAGCCACGGGTTAATTATATATCAGACTTCCACATGACACCTTTCTGGAAGAGAGGGCAAAGGGAAGGGAACTGAAGTTCTACAGGGGAAATGGTAGCATAGTGGTTTAATTTGAATGTTATTTTTTTTTTTTTTTTGAGACAGAGCCTCAAGCTGTCCCCCTGGGTAGAGTGCCGTGGCATTACAGCTCACAGCAACCTCCAACTCCTGGGCTCAAGCGAGTCTCCTGCCTCCGCCTCCCAAGTAGCTGGGACCACAGGCGCCCGCCACAACGCCTGGCTATTTTTTAGTTGCAGCCATCATTGTTGTTTGGCGGGCCCGGGCTGGGGATTCGAACCCGCCACCTTAGGTGTACGTGGCTGGCGCCTTAGCCGGTTGAGCTATAGGCGCCGAGCCTGAATGTTATTTTTTAATCTATGGATAGAATATCTTCAATTGTCCTGGTAATTGTTAATTTATTCTGAAAAGTATAAACCTTTTACCTCTGATGACTTTTAACAATATAAACAGAAATTTCAGTGCATGGTTCTTCCATTATTTTTCCTAATGTGGAAGTGATAAATCTCCCCATTAGTTTGAGAGGGTAGGGTTCAGAGTGCGTTTGTTCAGTACAAACACTGCTGCTCTTGTGTTCAGCCTTCACTGGTGTGACTCTGGGAAGCAATAGGAATTCAGGAACAGGAAGCACACATTCATTATTTCATAGCTATTCACTAGGTCTTCACAGTATTGGGGTGAGAGGGGTCTTGGGCTTGTGAAGACCCAGTGGGGATGGGGAATGGGTTGAAAAGACTCTGGCTTTGGGATCAGAAAGCCTGAATCTCCACTTTGGGTCTGTCACTTACAGTCAGTTGTGTGGACACAGGCTGGTTACTTTGCCTCTGAACTTCAGTCTCCTCCTCTGGCTGTGCCCACCGGGCTTGTGCTTACGAGGTGAATACGGAAAAGTGGGCACTCCTGGGGCAGTGGAATCAGTCATGCGCAGTGGCTTCCCTCATTCTCGTTTCTCCTCATGGCTGTGTCTTCATGTTTGTGCCCAGAAGAAACAAACCAGCAAAAATACCTCCCAAAATAACTAGGCTACAGTAATATTTAGTGTGATTTGGAAACTGCAGTTGGTGAAGTATGTTTTGATGCCATCTAAAGTAGTTAAAGAATGGTTTTTCAAATTATAAAAACAATTTATGAAAAAAATACTTATAAAATATCCAAATGATAAATGAAAACAGAGTAAAACAAGGAAATCCTTTTTGCCCTGACACTCCACAGCCCCTTTCATGGAGGTGTCCTTTGTGGTTTACTGTCTACTCTCCTGGACCTTTGTCTGAGACAAACTACATTAATTTCATCCACAGAAATACATTTAGACGGTATACACACAGACTGGTGAGCTCTACAGTTTCTCCCTGCTGTGTACATGGGACTGGGAAGCTTGCTGCACACAGCCTTGAAGGTATAGGAGCCTGTGATTGAAAGCTGGGGGACTGCCTGTCTTCTGAATCTAGTTTTTGGCTGACCTTGGACATGATGATAGTCCCTGGAGACTGGTTGTGTTCGTGGAACTAAATGATGCGGTTTCATGGAAGGAAAGGAATTAATTCTGCTTCCTAGGAAGTTCAGGAGAGGTGGCCCTGGAGAGCTTTCAAGGGCTTTTGTCCTCCCCTGGGTGATTTAATGTATCGATGTAATATGAGAACAATGCCAGCCAAAGATAACCCCTTTTTCCACTGATCTAATTCCCAGGGGGAAATTGTGAGATCTTAAATGCTTTATTATCTCTTAAACACAGCTGAGCAGCAAGGGGGACTTTCTTTTCTTTCTTTCTTTTTTTTTTTTTTTGTTTTAAGACAGTCTCACTATGTCGCCCTGGGTAGAGTGCTGTGGCATCACAGCTCACAGCAACCTCAGACTCTAGGGCTTAAGTGATTCTTTTGCCTCAGCCTCCCAAGTAGCTGGAACTATGGGCACCTGACACAACGCCCAGCTATTTTTTGGTTGTAGTTGTTGTTTGGCAGGCCTGGGCTGGATTTGAACCCGCCAGCCTTGGTGTATGTGGCTGGCGCCATAACCACTGTGATACAGGCACTGAGCCCAAGGGAAACTTTCTGTCGGACCTCAATGTGCCCTGAGTGTGCAGCCACTGGCTTACCTTGAGCTGCCAGCACATAGTGTGGGGTCTGGTGCACAGTAGGCACTCCAGAGGACTCTGAGAAACCTCAGATTTAAGGGGAGCAACACTATTTCTAGACCTCATCTTCTTCAAGTTCTTGTCTTTTTTTTGAGACAGGAGCATTAAGCTGTCCCCCTGGGTAGAGTGCCGTGGCATCTCAGCTCACAGCAACCTCCAACTCCTGGGCTCAGGCGAGTCTCCTGCCTCCGCCTCCCAAGTAGCTGGGACCACAACGCCCGGCTATTTTTTGGTTGCAGCCATCATTGTTGTTTGGCTGGGCTGGATTCGAACCTGCCACCTTGGGTGTACGTGACTGGTGCCTTAGCCACTTGAGCCACAGGTGCTGAGCCTCAAGTTCTTGTCTTAAAATGAACTCAGTGTTACTGAGCCTTTGGGAGATTAGAAAACGATGTGGGAGCATTGTAGGTGGAGTCATTCCTTTGGCAGTGGAAGCTACAAAGCACTTGAAATTAACAGGCATGTTTGGCGTTTTGTTAATTGGGCTTATGCCTGTGTCCAGTAGATAATGTGGCCTTAGGGACGCAAAGGGAACGCTGTTCTGGGAAATTGAGATCTTAGTTTAGAGGCAGTGTGTCGGGGCAGTTGACTGTAACAGGCTCTGGAGTTAGACTGCCTGGGTCCTAGTCCTGGGGACATTACCCAGAGCCTCAGGTTCTGTGTGGGGAAAGGGGTTATGGGGTGGGGGTGGAGTGATGATGCTGATAGTAGTTGTATTAATTTTCTGCAACTGCTATAACAAATCATCACACTCAGGGACTTAAAACAACAGAAACTTATTTTCCTATAGTTTTGGAGGTCAGAAGTCTAAAATGAGTCTTCCAGGCTAAAATCAAGATGTTGGAAGGCCTGGATCTTTCTAGAGGCTCCAGGCAAGAATCTGTTCTTTCTCTTACAGTTTCTAGAGGCTGCTGGCATTCATTGGCTTGTGACGTGTCACTACAATCTCTGTTTCCATCAACACGTTGCCTTCCCTCTTCTGCAGTTAAATTCCTCACTGCCTCCATTTTATAAGGACGTTTGTACTTATTTTGAGCCACTCACATAATCCATGATAATCTCCCCATCTCAAGGTCTGTAACCCTAATCACATCTGCAAAATCTCTTTTGGCACACGAGGTAGCATTCACACGTTCTGAGGATTAAGAAATGGACTTATGGCTCGGCGCCTATAGCTCAACCGGGTAAGGCGCCAGCCACGTACACCTAAGGTGGTGGGTTCAAATCCCCAGCCCGGACCCGCCAAACAACAATGAC